GCGGCGCGGCGACGCTCTTCATGGGGCTCGCAAAGAGATCTGTCCGGGGATCCCGAGGCTGCATAGGCACCTTCTCGGGATTCATCGGGCAGTTCTGATGTCCTCGAGCCTCGAGTCGAGGATCCGATGTTTGAGCTGTCTGCCTCTGAGGAGGTAGACGTGCTCAGCATCGAGGGCGGGGATTTCGGGGACGACTCGCCGCCCCGTGTCCCCGCGTATGAGGAGTTGGTGGAGGTTGTTTCCCGTGCAGTGGCCCATTTAAATATCAGCTGGCCACAAGATAAGCAGGAAGGCATACTAAAAGTAAGCTGGATGAGCGCTTCCTGCAGCACAGGGAACAACCGCATCACCGGGGCTTGCCGTTTTTTCCCCATTTGCACAACGAGTTGTGTAAATCGTGGAAGAAACCGCATTCCTCTCGTGTTTCCAATCCCCCTGTTTTGAACTACAGTAACATCATGGGGGCACGAGAGAACGGTTATGGGATGATGCCGCGGGTGGAACAGCCTCTAGCGAATTATTTATCCCCTGAGTCGGCGTCATCCCTTAAAGCCGGTGCTGCCCACTAAGCCGTGTAGAGACACATCATAGCTAGTGGGCAGGGCTTATATGGCTGCGGGTCGGGCTGGTGCGAGTCTTCACACCATGGCTATGCTCCAAGCGTACCAGGCCGACCTTCTTAAAGACATCGATGAGGGCGAGGGCCCAACTCCAGAAGACATTTCGGAGTTGAGGAAGGTCGCTGATTTGTCTCTCTGAGTCACCAAGGAGACGACCCGCGCGGTCGGTCGCTCCATGGCGGCAATGGTGGTCTCGGAGAGACATTTATGGTTAAACCTTACGGGCATCAAGGAGAAAGACAGGGCTTTCCTCCTTGATGCCCCGATTTCGCCTTCTGGCCTGTTCGGCGACGCCGTTAATACCGTTGTCGACAGGTTTCAGGAGGCGAAAAGACAATCAGCGGCCTTCAAGCAATATCTCCCTCGCCGCTCGGTGTCTAAGAAGTCTGCTCCAAGTGGGCAGCCACCGCCATCCACCAGGTCCTCCGCCTATAGACAGGCTCAAAAACAGAGCGTTTCGTCTAGAGCCCCCCCTCAAGGAGCCTGGGGGCATAGACAGCGCTCTCAGGCGAAGCCTCAGCAGAAGCAGGGCGACCTGAGGGCCGTCCTGCAGGCTAAAAAGGCTTCGTCGAAGAGGTCCTAGCTGGTCTAGGATCTCTGCGGGCGGCCCCACCCGTGGTGGAACGACCGAGGTCGTCTCCTTCACGGAGCCCGCAGGAAATCGATGTTGCTCTCCCGCCGTTAAACACGCTTCGGGACACATCGGTATCCAGCGAACGCAGGCTGCACTGTCCGCCCCACAGGCTTGCGGTCAGGCAGCATTCGCGTCCGCCCATCGAGAATCGTTGTCGGTTCAGCCCTGCCGGGAATCCGCTTCAGGGGGCCGAGAACGAATCCCGATTAATAAGCTCGAGAGCCTGGTTCCCTTGGTAAAATATTTCGAGGCATGGAAAAATCTGACGAATATTTCTCCTTGGGCCCTGCGCACCATTCAAAATGGGTACAGGCTGCAGTTCAGTTCCCGCCCACCCAGATTCAACGGGGTGGTCTGGACTGTAGTCGACCCAGTGCAGGGTCGGGTATTGGAACAGGAAGTAAACTCCCTGCTGGCAAAGGAGGCTATAGATCGTATTCCTCCACCGGACAGGGAGTCCGGGTTTTACAGCCGCTACTTCATAGTTCCCAAGAAGGATGGGGGGTTGCGTCCAATAATAGATCTCAGGCACCTGAACCGTTCTCTGAGGAGATTCAGGTTCAAGATGCTCACTATTCCCATTATCGTGAGTCAAATCCAGTCCGAGGATTGGTTTGTCACGATAGATCTAAAGGACGCACACTTCCACATATCCATCCTTCCATCTCACAGGAAGTTCCTGAGGTTCGCTTTCGGGGGCAAAGCGTACCAATATCGGGTTCTTCCGTTCGGCCTAGCTCTCTCCCCTCGCACATTTACCAAATGTATGGATGCAGCTCTGGCACCGCTGTGGCTTCAGGGCATCAGGGTGCTCAATTATATCGACGACTGGCTGATTTTAGCACAGTCACAGGAGCTGGCGTTTCGGCATCGAGATGTCGTCCTCGCCCACATCCAGAGCCTGGGGTTGAGACTCAACACAAAAAAGAGCGTGTTGACACCAGCCCAGAGAACTACGTTCCTGGGAGTGGTGTGGGACTCGGTCACGATGCGGGCACAATTGTCTCCCGCGAGGATCGAGTCCATCCTGACCACAGTGTCCGGGATAAGGCTAGGCCAAGCCATCACTGTAAAGCACTTCCAGAGAGTGTTGGGGCTCATGGCAGCAGCGTCCAGTATCATTCCATTCGGCCTGCTGCACATGAGGGCCCTTCAGTGGTGGTTAAAAACCAAGGGGTTCTCCCCGAGGGGAAACCCGTTCCGCATGATCAGGGTTACGCGCAGATGCCTTCGTTCCCTATCTATGTGGAAGAAAGCTTGGTTTCTGTCCCAAGGGCCAGTGTTGGGAGCGTCATGTCGCCGGAGAACCGTTTCGACAGACGCCTCCCTCACGGGCTGGGGCGCGGTCATGGACGGCCGCTTTACGACAGGCCTATGGCAGGACCATCATGCCTCCTGGCACATAAACTGCCTGGAGATGTTGGCGGTGTTCCGAGCTCTGAGGAGCTTCCTGCCGGACCTCAAAGGTCATCATGTCCTTGTGAGGTCAGACAATATGTCGGTAGTGGCCTATATAAACCATCAGGGGGGTCTGAGGTCTCGCCCTCTATGCAGACTGGCGCATCAGATCCTCCTGTGGTCCCAGGGGAAGTTGTTGTCTCTAAGAGCAACATTCATCCCGGGGAGTCAAAATCAGGGAGCAGACATCCTGTCGAGACAGGGGCTGAGGCCCGGGGAGTGGAGACTCCACCCCGAGGTGGTGGAGTCAATATCTCAGAGGTTCGGCCCAGTGGAAGTGGACTTGTTCGCGTCTCGAGAGACGACCCACTGTCCACTGTGGTTTTCCCTCTCCCATCCAGCCCCGCTGGGGTTGGATGCCATGGTGCAGACGTGGCCGAGGCTACGTCTGTACACATTTCCCCCGATCGCTCTGCTCCCGGGAGTTCTAGAGAGAGTCCGTCGCGACGGGATCAGTCTACTGTTGGTAGCCCCGTTGTGGCCGGCCCGAGTATGGTTCTCCGACATAATTTTGCTCCTGGACGGCCCTCCTTGGAAGATTCCCTTCAGGAGGGACCTGCTGACACAGGCAGAGGGCTCAATATTTCACCCTCGGCCCGAGTTATGGAAACTGTGGGTCTGGCCCCTGAGGGGGCACAGTACCTAGAGGCCGGCCTATCAGCTGGAGTAGTGGAGACCATACTCAGCTCTAGAGCTCCATCCACGAGGAAATTGTACGGCTTAAAGTGGAACGTCTTCACCGTTTGGTGTAGGGAGCGTGAGGTGGACCCAGTTAACTGCCCAGTGGCTTCAGTGCTGGAGTTCCTCCAAGATCGCTTCTCCACTGGTCTTACCCCGTCCACACTCAAGGTGTACGTGGCTGCCATTGCGGCTTTCCACGCTCCTCTGAGTGATGGGCCTCTGGGGAGACACCAGTTGGTCGTACGTTTCCTCCATGGGGCATGGAGGATGAGACCTGTGGCTCGTACCAGGGTTCCCACATGGGACCTGGCAGTGGTTCTTGAAGGGTTGGCTGAGGCCCCTTCGAACCGCTAGAGTCGGCTGAGGCCAAGAACTTGTCGCTGAAGGTGGCTTTTCTGTTGGCTATTACTTCTCTGAGGAGGGTAGGAGATCTCCAGGCGCTCTCCATATCTAACGGGTGCCTGGAGTTTGCTCCAGGCAACATTAAGGCCATTCTTCACCCTAGGCCCGGCTATTTGCCTAAGGTGCCGTCCAGTGCGGCACGGCCTACGGTTCTGCAGGCTTTTCATCCTCCACCTCACGTGACGGCAGATGAAGAGAGACTTCACTTGCTCTGCCCTGTCAGAGCACTGAGTATTTACATTCAGAGGTCCTCTTCATGGCGGAAGTCGGACCAGTTGCTGGTGTGTTTCGGGTCGCCCAGGAAGGGGCTTCCCGCCTCAAAACAGACCATCAGCAACTGGATTGTCCATGCGATTTCCACGGCCTACCAGGTGCGCGGTTTGCCTTCACCTTTGGCCGTGAGGGCTCATTCCACCAGAGCCATGGCGTCCTCTAGAGCCCTTCTCGCGGGGGCCCCCATCCAGGAGATCTGCGATGCAGCAGGATGGGCTACCCCCCATACCTTTATTAGGTTTTACAGTCTGGACATTCCGTCGACACTCGGCTCTCTTGTGCTCGCGTCCTAAGTGTGCCTGTGAGCAGCTTCACACTAGGGCAGGCAGGGTACGTTGTGGCGTAGTGGGTACCCGTTCCCCCAAAGTGTCATTCGACGCAGTTGGAGTTCCCTCGAAAGGGAACGTCCTCGGGTTACGACTGTAACCCTTGTTCCCTGAGAAGGGAACGAGAATTGCGTCCCTTGGCCACGCCTTCCCCTGCCTGGGAGCGCTTGCCTCATCACAGAGGCTGACATTTTGTTTTGCCGGCGTCCCTTTATAGTTCCGCCTATGTGTCGTCACACATTACGTCATGACGTTGCACCAATCGGAGATCGGCTCAGTTTCATTCATGCTTCAGAGGCGCTACGCTGAGGGGCGTTCCCCCAAAGTGTCATTCGACGCAGTTCTCGTTCCCTTCTCAGGGAACAAGGGTTACGGTCGTAACCCGAGGACGTTTTCTATGTTTAATTTTCTTGTTTACTTTACTTAGTTTACTTACTTAGTTTTGAATTACTAAAGGCCAAAAGTAATACTTTTTTGTGAGTTTGCAGACACAGACAAAGATTTTAGATTGATTATCTAAAGTGTGAACCTATGTACATGTGGAAGTAGTAACTATAGCATAGGTGTCAACACACATGAAGGACACATTCTTGTTTTCTTTTTCAGAGACACCTACCGGGTCAGAAGAAAGTAGAAAGAGTAAGTGAGAAGACTGGATTGGAAGGGACACCTCAAAGCATATCTTAAGTTATGTCAAGCTGTTTTTCTGTCATTTCTCTCCTGTAGAGGATGAAAAAAAGCATGAATATGCAAATGAGCCCCACCTCCACTCACTCATACAGGCTAGTTTATAAGTCGATGTATCAGAATGGTACTGTGTTTTATGTATCACTCTCTACAGCGTCAGACACATAACGGTAATTCATTTAATTAGCCTTTTGCTTGACTACGCTAGCAAACAGGTAATAATGTTGCTAATGTTATAACAAAACGTTCCCATTCGCCATCTCAAAGTCGGACAGCTGCCTTCTGAAAATCAGCATCCTTACAAGCGCTTTGAACAACTTAGAACATCATTGGAGAAAGATTACATCATTACATCATTACATCATAACATCGTAATATCATATACATAATTCACCCACTATAGCTAAAAGTATCTGATTTTTCATATCAACAGAAAAATATTGGCTACCGGGATAACTGGCTTCTCTTTAGTCTTCCCTGCTTCGCAGCATAGTAATGATGATATGCTAAAGCCCGCTCGCACATTGACGTGATTGATTACAAGGTAGTTTCTGACCTAAGAAACACTGGCGATTTCAAACCACGTTTTTGAGACTGTCTTTGGTTCACTGCAGTTTTAAGGAGAAAATACTCAGCAATGGTGTTGACTTATGAATTTGCACATGGTTTGTCTTAAAGCATATTAAAAACACCACATATAGTCATATAAACAACATTAAAAACAAAACTTGATTTTCACCACAGGGTTTTTTTAACATACTGTGGCTCTGCTCCAAACTAATAGTTAAATGCCTTGTCCCTTCCTGCCTTCTATGAAACGTCACGGTATGTCAGTACCTTAAAGTGATCAATATGGAATGCTCTACATAGTCAACATCTCAGTCATGTGATTCTTCTACATTTAGCACATGCTCTTCATGATCAGATTAAGAGACCCTGCTTTCATGTTGAATTTCAGATAAGATTAGGATGAAAACATTTATGGTATTTTGGGAATTATCTTTTTGACCCCATTTACACCTGGTATTAAAATGAGATCTGTATCAAGATAAGTTATCCGGATAATAAGTGTTCTGATCTTACCTTTGCGTTTACACCTTGTATTTTTAATGCGTTCTCGTTATCCACATTGAGTTCGGATCTCTGTCCTCCAGAAAAAAAAAATGACAAAAAAAATGACGTTTGGCAGGTACGAATGCCATCACGTCGTACGGATTGCGTTTACACCTAGTAAAGATCCGAACACAATGTGAGCCAGACTACCTCCAGATGTGGTCAGGCAGATCCGATCACAATCCGATCACAACGTATTTACACCTTGCATTAACATGCGTTTTTTATTATTCGGATAACTTATCTGGATACAGATGGCATTTTAATACCAGGTGTAAATGGGGTCTTAGTGATTCTACACCAGATAAAAATGAAGATCAAAGAGTAGCTATACAGAGTTGAGGCCAGAGGTTAATTGCTGCCTTTGAAAAGCACCACTTTAACAAATAAAAAATAAAATCAACACAAAAGTAGTATTGGTGAATGTTGTTATCGTTTGTATATTGTTTGTATTCTTACATTTATTTCTGTTATGACAACTCTCGGAGTGTTTGGCATGGTAATGGATATGGCAATGTTGATATGATTGGTCTTGGCTGAATAGATCTGCTACGCTGCTGCTCTTGGTTCCCTTTCAAGGGAACTCGAGCTGCGTTTGAGACGCGGTGGGAACGCCCTGCGTGATTGCGTCATGAAGCACGTGTATAATCAGTCCAATGGTAGAACAAGACGTCATAGGCGGTAGACGTCATGACCAGGAAACTATAAAGCACCCCAGAAAACAGACCGCATCAGCAGTCCCTGTTTGATTTATTGTTGTCTGTCTTGCACAATATATATCTATAATGGCGAAACAAGAGTACAAGCGTTGTGTTGTTCCCTGCCCTCGTTTCATCACGGGTGGGGACACACATCAGCTTTGTGTTGCTTGTTTAGGAGTGGAGCATGCCCAGTCAGTTCTCGAGGGAGCTGACTGTGAGCATTGCGAGAAGCTGTCTGTGAAGACGCTCCGCTCCCGCCGGGCGTTCTTTGAGGAGGACGGTTCGGTTTTGTCCTCCACCTTTTCAATCTCCTGATCAGGAAAAGCTTAATCTGCTGTGCCCTGTTCGGGCTTTGGATGCTTATGTCCACAGAGCTGCCCTGTGGCGTAAATCAGATCAGTTATTTGTCTGTTTCGGGTCAACTAAGAGAGGTTGCCCTGCCTCCAAGCAGGTTATGAGCAAGTGGGTAGTTGAGGCTATTTAGAGTTCTCAACGGGTCGGGTCGGCCCGACAAACCCGACGGGACCCGCGGGTTCGGGTCGAAAATATTTGCAAATGACTCGGGTCGGGTCGGACCTCGGGCTTAATCTTTTGAATTGTACAGTGAAAGAAAAAAAAACATTTATTATTCATCGCTGCTGTTCACTGTAAAGAAAGTCTGGCTGCTGCGTGCAACGTGCATCGCGACGCGAGGGCAGACCTGACGCCGCTGCGTGCTAGCCTTTAGCCCGGAGAAGAAGATGGAGTTGGTGAAAAGTAAACTTGCTGCAGGTGAAATCACCGTTGCTCAGGGGCGGCGCGACACGTTGTGTGATTATCTGGGCAGTTTAGGACATCGCACAAGATTTGCGTCAATACAGAAAACATTTAATCACTGGATAGTTTTTTTCGTTTATTGAAATGTGGTTTATGTCAGCTGGATGGGCGGAATGTGTGAGACGTGAGAGTGCGCGCGCGCGCGCGGCCGGGGCTCTCTCTCTCTCTGCGTCAAGCGCAGCAGTCATTCTACATGCATCACTCACCGATCAAAAGGGTGGCGTCGGGCCGCGGGTCGGGTTCGGGCAGATAATTCATGTTGATGTGTCGGGTTACATCGGGTCCGGGCTTTAAAAGCCACGGGCCGGGTCGGGTCGGGTTGTAATTTTCAGGCCCGTTGAGAACTCTAAGGCTATTACACTTGCTTACGAAGCGGCCGGACAGCCTTCACCTTTGGCTGTCCGCGCCCACTCTACTAGGAGTATGGCGGCCTCGAAAGCCTTAATATCTGGGGTTTCGCTGCACGACATTTGTAGTGCGGCAGGTTGGTCCTCACCGCATACATTTGTTCGTTTTTATGACTTGGACCTAGGCTCCACTCCTGGGTCTAGGGTGCTTGTGTCTAAGTGTGCTTTTTTTATTCATACAGTACAGGCATTTGTCATATGGCATCGTGGGTATGGGGTTCCCACCGCGTCTCAAACGCAGCTCGAGTTCCCTTGAAAGGGAACGTCTCAGGTTACGTATGTAACCCTGGTTCCCTGAGAGGGAATGAGACGCTGCGTTGCTTTGCCATACTCCCAGCATGCCTGTGATCGACTTGCTTCAGGCCTTTTCAGAAGCTGATGCGGTCTGTTTTCTGGGGTGCTTTATAGTTTCCTGGTCATGACGTCACCCGCCTATGACGTCTCGTTCTACCATTGGACTGATTATACACGTGCTTCACGACGCAATCACGCAGGGCGTTCCCACCGCGTCTCAAACGCAGCGTCTCGTTCCCTCTCAGGGAACCAGGGTTACATATGTAACCTGAGACGTTATTGCTGCTGCTGCAGAGCAAGCAAACTTGTTACTGCCAAAACATGGAAAACATGCAGCAGTGAGCAAGACAGACATGCTGCTGCAGTACAAAATAGCATATAAATTGCTATGATTTCATATACATGGATGAATGTTCTGCATGTCTCTGTGTGAAGGAATAGTTAAGACTAGGGTGACAAATGGGGTACAGTCCCGAAATTGGGAGCTTTGTCCCGTGTCCCGCAAGATGTAATCAGTGTCCTGCATGCCAATTATGTCTGTATAATTTAATTTCTTCCCTGAAATTACAATACCACATTAATAAATATAATATAAAAAAATGCGATTGGCGTTTTAAAATCAATTTGCACAGCCATCATGTTCTAGCTAGAGCGAGAAAATATCCAAACTATGCATTCGTAGAGAGGGTTTTTTCTGCTGATGGTGACTGCATGGACGAAGCAAAGGAACCAGTGTGGACCTAATCAAAACTCATTAAATGTAGCTACACCAGCCAGGATTGCTTCTGGATAAGAACATCCTGATTAACTTGCCAGATCCAACAAAAAACATACACGTTCAAGATTCGCTGAATCTGGTGAAACGCATTTATTGTTTGCATAGTCTAATAAAGGAAAAGACTAGTTGCTACTTAAGGACATTTGTTTTAGTATAAAATGTGATTTTTAAATATACTAGCCTGTTATTCAGTTAATTATATTTTGTAGACTGAATAGGTCCCTAGAAAAATTACAAGTCAGGACCACTTTGCCAAGTATATAAATTTATTGCAATAATAGCATACAGTTAGTGTTGGCGGTATGGTTTGATATCTCTCGATTCGAACCTGGGCAAATAGAATGCCAGTCACTGAGCCGTTCACAATTAACAAAGCTTATTGGCGATTTAAAACGTTATCTCTCACACACATGTCCAGCGTTGTCCCACAATATCACATCTACATCCTGTAACAGAGCAATAACCAGGTGGTCACCAGACGCGTGGTTTAATTTACCACACACACACTGAAGCATCCATGTTTTCAGCCTCTGCCGCCTCAATATGAGGACATGAATGCATGAACTTCATATCCAGAGCCGCTCTGAGAGTCACTTCATCAGAATTTCACCATTTCTTTTGAGAAAAATTATTACCATATCATAAACACACAAAAACTCAAAGGTCTTCATAGCAACCCGTCAAAATAAAAGTTCGGTTTTAACTTGCAATTGTGACAGAAATATATTACTGCTGTACAGTAGAACTATGTCTCAATGTAATAACAATACTAACATTAATAATAATAAATTAGTATTAAAACTTTTTTTTTTTTTTATAAAAGTTTGTTTAATTGCATATGAT